ACGACGCAAGCACTGACGATGTTAGCACGCAAACTCAAACACAACAACTGACTGTGCTCGTCCGGACCGTCTTATAAATACACGCTTAAATTAGCAACTGCAAACCCCGTCCAAACAAGGGAACGCTCCTCTGACCGAAACTAACCACAGATGTGTCGATTTAAAATAGTACATTCCTATGTACATTGCTATGTACACGGTCAGTCTATACGAGCAACCGATCGCCCCATCCCTTACAAGGAAGTCCACGATCGCTCGTGTATAAACGAGTATCTCTCTCTATTGTCGAATCTCTCCTCCCGGGGAGAACCGAGACCCCGAGCTGCTTCTCAGGCGTGTGCTAAATGTGTACACAAACAACCTTGCCCACTCACACACAAACACTCCTGCCTGCCCTAGCAGACCGTGTTTCACACGTTTGCTTAAACTCGTTGCTCGTGCCTATAGTTAGTCATTACAAGAATCAATCTGCGGTGCCGATAATCTAACCGGAGTTTATAAAATGATTAACTGATTTAATTAATGATTACTGATTTAATTAACGCAAACCTCGTGTCTACAATATATATAGGGTGCGAAATTAGCGTGAGTCCGGAGTCAAATACTCCCCGATTTACTGTCGGACTCCCTGATTTCACATATGCAGGAGTCCGTGTGACTCCCTGAAAATTCTGCTATACTAACTAGTTCGTTTCGGAGCAGGGCCCCACGGAGTTACCGTATTTTTTCAGCAATGTCCAAAGAAAATTTGGCAGATGTGCAACTGCATGAATCTTCAAAAAAGCACATGCGTTATTGTTAATGTCTTTAGTTTTGAACTTCAGACTGCGGACTCCCTCATTTTTCTGCGGACTCCCTCATTTTTCTGCGGACTCCCTCATTTTTCTGCGGACTCTCTCTCTTTGAGACGTTGGACTCTCTTGTTCAAAAGTTAATTTCTACCCCTGTATATATGTATATACCTATGTATTGGAGATGCTTACGACACGTGTAATGCCCCCATTGGTACACCCTCTCCCCCTAACCCCCATCCGTACTATAATATGCCTGCTGAAATATTCCTGGGGATATATATGACAATGCATTGCTCCTTTCACCGATGTGAAACACCCCATGTCATTCGTGCTTCTGTGTGTGTACGCGGCAGGCTGGCAGGAGTCTTTCCGACTAGGTGCGCTAGTGCGAGACCGTCCCGCCTACAGAAACAAGATGGCCGACCGCGCGCGAGGAGCTCGTCTGCTCCGCGCAGAAAACAAGAGAACGTCACCACGGACGAGAAAAAATCCAGGTTTGGCGTCGTTTGTCTGTTCTCGTTCGTTTCGGCTGCAAACTTTAGCATTTCGACATTTCGCATCAAACATGTCTGCCATCGTACATGTGAACCACAAACATAAACAGCAAGGCAGGAGACGGAATTGCTTTAGTTTAGTCGCGGTAATATTCCGTCGGTGAGCTGACCTTTGCAAGTGCCTTCTCCTGCCCCGGCAGCGGAGTGCGCGCGCCGGAGAGACCCGAGCGAGAGAAGAAGCGACACGTGTCGTTTGAGAAGGAATCCAAGGAGAGGAGGAAGGCGCAGCAGCAGCGGCCGATTTCCGCTACAAGGTCGTCCTCTCCCAGAGCGAAGAGACAACCAGGTACGCTCTCCCCCCGTGAAAGGTTGCACTAGGTACGCCACTCGTGAAAGGTTGCACCAGGTATTTTCTCCTCGTTAGAGGTTGCAACTGGTACGCTCTCCACGCGAAAGGTTGCACGATCGTATGCATGGAATACCGAGGGTCGGTGAAAGTATCGAGCAAATGAGCGATAGACACGAGAATAAACTACGCAATCAATGTTGACTTTATGGCTAATTGTTAGTAAGGACTGTTTTTAGAAAGTCCTGTCGCAATGCTGATTAATTAGATTAATTAGATTCAAATTAATTGAGATGCAGAAATAATCAGCATTCAGCATAAACAGCATTCAGCAGTTAGCATGATTGCACTGTGCGTGTATGCAATCTAATGTTAACTTCTAAAGCCGACAGTATCATAATTTTGAAATTGTTACAGGTACTGTGCTATACCCGCCCGCCCGATCCAGAGCCACCACCAGAGAGCGCCGACGTAGCGTGTCCGTCAGCCCGTCGGTTGGCCGAACCCCACGTAGCGACGGTAACGCAAATTTTGCTTTTTTTTATGGCCGAGGCTCTAGTTTAATTTCTATTTTGCAACTATGTAAAATAATGTACATAAATATTATGCAATTGTGCGTATTCTACCATGACTAGTCGAGTGAATCAAATGACAAAAAATGTAATTGTGACGATTGTTGTACGTGGCACGCGTGTTGAAAAGGGGATCACGTTCGCGTCGCGCTTGTCTTTCCGAAGTCATACCTTCCCGAGGACATGCTGGCTCAACTCGATTGAACCTTCATATATCATATTTCTTCATTGACTGACAAAAAAATTAGGATGTTTTTGGCACATGTCTTGTATGTGGAGCGCGTGTTGACAAAAATATCACGTGTGTCTTCTTTCCATCAGACCCTCCCCGGGGACAAAAAAATGAAGCCCGTATATGACGTGACTATTGTATGTGTTGACCAAGAGATCAAATTCACCTCGCACGTGTTTTCATCAGACGTTCCCGAGGACATGCTGGCCCAACTGCTGGACGAGTTTCCGTTCCTCTACCTGTCGCACGAGGCGGTGCACCACATGTACGAGCAGCAGATACGGCATCTGGATGCCGTGAAGCGCATCACGCGAAACACCTCGCAGGCACGCACCAAGGCTCAGGTACGCGCGCCGGGGGTGGGGGGGGGGTCTAGCGATTGCAGCTTTAATTGCCGGGGTTGGAAAGGTCATGGGGCATGCAAAGGTCACAGGAAGGACGTTGTTTGTATTCGGTGATTGTAAACCAACACATTTTTTTCCATGTGGGAGCCTATCAAGAAGGTAATCTTCTGAGAATCACAATTACTGGTCATATTTTGTGATCGATAGTAAAAAATAGCTTCTGTTTACTGTACTGATTCGTCTTTTCAATTGGGTTGCAAGATTATGCCACCCCTTGATGTATGGTATTGTGTTTATAATAGCAACTTGCAGTCACATATCGCTATATGAGTATATGTATGCGTCACTGTTGCCTAATAATTTAATACGTCTAGTAAGTTACCAATAATAAAAATAGGTTTACCTAACTTGATATGTAATGATTGTTTTGCAATAGATTTTGCTGGATGAAGCAGAGTACAGGCAGGCACTGTTGGCAAGAATTCTGAAGAAGGAAAGAGATCATAACATACGATTGGTACGTGCGAGATCTTATAACTCGTGCTGAAAGTTACAAAATAAGTTTAATGCAAGATGTCACATGCATGTCTCTAACAGTGGTTACAATTTAGCATATTGAAACTATTGATAATGCTTGCAGGTTTTGTAGACTTATTTTAACAATAGTGCTAGCTCTATAACGTTAAGTCAAACGAGTTAAAAAATGTAATCGTTTAAAAATTTATATTTGATTAATATATTTATGTTGCACTCGTGTCTGACTGCTGTTGCTGCTGCTGCTGTTGTTGCTGCTGCTGCTGTTGCCACACAGCGGGAGAAAACCGACAGAGAGTCCAGTCAGAGGAGTCTCCAATCCCAGCTTCAGCAACAACGACAGCAGTCGGCACGTCTGCACCGTTACTATGACGACTACCAGCTGCAGATGCGTGCGAAGATGACTCGGCAGAAAACCAAGGAAGAGGTGGTGAGTGGAGGAATTTCAAATCATTACACGAATTTCAGAAATATAAGGATTCGGATTTGGAATATAATATTTGGTTGCTTGTCGCAGATGTTACATATACTGTGGTTTATTCGAGTTCTGAAACCAATCTAGGGGCCCATTATCAGAAACAAATTTAGCCGTAACTTTACAATGTTTCTGATGGCAAACCACAGACTCCTTTTCAGCAGTCTATTCTAAACACTTATATTGGATATTTGCATAACTCGCCATACACCTGCACGTACCTTCTGCATCGACGCACTTCTACATTTCTACATTCTATATTTTTCACATATTCTACATATTTCTATCTCCACATTCTACATGTTTCTAAATACTATATTTTTTACATATTCTACATATTTCTACGGTTCTACATTCTCTACACATTTCTACATTCTATATTTTTTTTACATATTCTACATATTTTTATATCCTACATATTTCTACATTCTATATTTTTTTTACATATTCTACATATTTTTATATCCTACATATTTCTACATTCTATATTTCTACATTCTCTTTATATCTACATATACATCTACATATATATTATACATTCTACATATTTCTACATTCTCTATTTCTCCTGCGAATTCCCTACATCCGTCGGGAATCATTCGCAGATGTTCAAGCGTATGTTCAGCGAGGCGCTAGAGCTGCAGAAGAGCGAGTTGGGGAGCTGAGAACTACGCGAGAGAGCAAAGCATGAAGAGAAGTCGTGATCAACGCATGCTCACGCGGCTCCCTCGAGACATAGTATCCTTGACGCGACCACCCAGAGTGCCCAGTTCCGTGGTGGGGTCGATCGCGGGATGGGTTGACGGACGTGTCTTCTGACTTTCGTGTTCGACTTAGTAGTTTAGTCTGTGTACCGACACGTAGTCAGTAGTAGTTGTGTTACCGACACGTAATTAGTGTGGTAATTTAATATTTAATATAATATAATTTAATGTATATAATTTAATATTTAACTAGTGTGGTAATTTATTGGGGATTAATTAGTAATTAGTAATTAGTGTGGTAATTTAATGGTGATTAATTAGGTCGAGGTTGAACGAAGGCTGCAGTAGATGCTAGTCTAGTCTGTCCCGTTTGGGCGTGGGTGGAGGGGTGGTGATGAACTGGCCTCTCCTTGTCCAATGTATAACATATATATAGTACCTTCATTTAACATATATATATACAAAATATATGTTGAATGAAGGTGCTATATTATATATATATATATATATATATAAAAATAGAGATAAAAAAGATAAACATATATATATATATAAGAATTTGTATCTCCCTAACAACACTACCTAGCTACGACGATCAGTTTACCATGCTTGCCGAGTCCGTAGCCAAAGAGAGAGACTACCTGCACAGTAGAGACCAGGCTCAGGCTAAGTGAGAGAAACTTTGCCACAGTGTAATTACGGCTAGTTATTACTTGTTTTGGAGGGTTTTGCGTGCGGCGCGCGAGCTGGGTAAATGATCGTGCGATAGCTAGTATGTTGTTAGGGGACGATCGTGATACTCGAAGTGATGACTTATAAGAGATCGAGTTAGTCCTAAGCCCTCCAAGTCTGCATAGAGATACCATATATTGATCGCCGTTTAATGATACAGTTATTACTAGCGGTGCCCACTTTTCATTCCTCTATTAGCCACGTGTATCTCTATTTTATAAACGTCAGGTCAACTCTTAGACGATGCGTCTTTGAAAACCGATCCTTTCCACTGTCCACGTTGTTACGTGTTAGTTCAGCGTTACTATAGAGAGACATTTTATCCTTAGTGCGACCTTCATATCCAACCTGACCTGATGAAAATCATGATGCTGCGTATGCATTGTCCTTTGGATATTGCAAACTGATTTTTCTGTTGACTTAAGAAATCTCTCTGCTAGTAAGAATCGTAGTAAGACTGGTAGTGAGAATCTCTCTCTAGTAACCGTATCGCTCCTCTATACTCTGCGTTTGCGACACCGTGCTGCTCTTACAGGTTGTAGACCAGATGAAGAACAGACTGCGAAAGAAGATGGAGACGGATATCAAGGTGGTCCAGGAGCAGTTGGTCAGAGACATGGACGACGTCCACTTCAGAGACCTGGACATGCAGAGTGTCCTTCAGAGAGTGAAGATGGGCACGCATTTTCTCTAGTCGAACGCAATTCTGTACATATTATATATTGTTGCTTGCACGATGTACTATCGTCGAGGGCGCGGCGCTAAAGGCCATGCGTACACGCACAAGACGTATGCCAAAAATGAGTAAGCATTCGTTATAAATGCATGTATTATAATGGGTGAAGTCAAGAGCGTATAAAGAAGGAGAGCGTACAACGGTGAAATGGTGAAACCATGTTGCAGTATTAGTCGAATTGATAAACTTTGCCCGTTTTATTTTGACGATTCTTTGCGGTATTATTGATCAGCTGTCCTACCTTGTTAATTTAAAACAAACCGCTTGTCCCTACGATGCTCCTACGCTGAGATAATGAGCGGTGAAAATCTGGTATTTTCGCCGAAAACCGACTCGAGATCAGTGTTTACTGCGACTGTCTCTCGCTTTGTGGCCAGTGTATTGCTTCCGGTCGCCGCTGTGTAGTGCCATGGTAGCGCTGACTCACGTCAGTACTACAGAGATTACTATACATCCAGCGTGAGGTGGGCACAGGTGGTGATCATCACTATGGCAATCAATAACAGACGTCATTCATTCCATTTGTCAATCATTGACGGAAATACGCGAGGTTTCCCAAAGTTATCTCAAAGCGAGAGACAGTCGCAGTCGCACTGATCTCGAGTCGGTTTTCGGCGAAAATACCAGATTTTCACCGCTCATTATCTCACCGTAGGCATGGTAGGGGCATCGTAGGGACATGCGGTTTGTTTTATATTAACAAGGTAGGACAGTTGATCAATAATACTGCAAAGGATCGTCAAAATAAAACGGGAAAAGTTTATTAATTCGACTAATACTGCAAGATGGTTTCAGCATTTCACCGTTGTACGCTCTCCTTCTTTATACGCTCTTGGTGAAGTCATAGGAAAGGCAATTAATTCTACGGAAACCTTACACAAGCGATGAGCAGCGGTGATGATTATGCTTGTTGTCGTGGTTACAGCACAATCCGTAGAAATCTTGGCAACGAATACGTGTAAATTTTGTTCGATTGCCGTTAGTCAGATATCGTCCGAAATTCCTCCTGTGTGACTTGCAAAAGTTTCTGTTATCGCCTACAAACCAGAGTTCTGAGAACTGAGAAAGCATTTAATAGTATTTTTCTATTTACCTTACAAACTCACTTTGTAACAAGCTGAAAAGCACTTGTGCATGCCTAAAATCACGATGAGCAACTGAGACGATAAACTCATGAATTGTGCTCGTTTTCTCTGTGTGTGTGAAATCTTACTAATTTATAAAAATGTAATAAATGTGATCTTTCATTTAAGTTTTTTTTTATTCAAGATCTATGTTTTCTTTGCATACATGAAATATTCACAGGGTTTATTATGATATAGTATTTATGGCAGAAGTTGACACGTGACCATTAATCTTGTTAATTTTAGACAGAATGCCATTTATGTATCGAAATTAAATTATAACATTACAGCATTAGGTAGCATAACAGGGCAAAACTTTCCAGTTTCCATACAACATCTACTTAATATCATAATATATTATGATACTATTAATACTATTAAAGCTTTTCACTGCACCACCAATACACCCCCAATCTACCAAACAGTATTCAATCTGTCACATGTATCTTAAGATTTGCATGGCTAGGGAATTTCAACCTTGAAAAAAATACCCGATGACATTAGTCAAATCATAGACATAGAATACAGATCTGTATTTCTATATCTACGGTCAAATAGACCAATAGAAAGCGCACCAGATGCAACCAGTATTTTTAAACTACATTATGCGGCAACGAATATTCTGCTAACTACAATTTTTTTCATAAAAAATCCCCACACCACAATGATTTAGTGATAAGCTTGAACTCGGGCAGCATTTTTTTTACCATTTTCAATTGTTAATTTGTGCAGGCTAATCGATTAATCCGCATACATTCGACACATTCAAACCAGGAGCAAACCACAACGTACGTAGTTATACCTTCTAACTTTCGAAACGCCGTCAACGACTCCTCGAAACCGATGTCATTCGCACAACGACCCGACAATGAATTCACAGTTAACGTCCAACAGATTACGAACCGAGGTCATGTCAGTTTCCTACGACATTTCCCTTTCCAAGAATTTCCTTCCCGCGCCACGTGTGAATCTAGCATGCTGTAGGATCCATCAACGGCACTATATTATTATTTACGATGCAGTTCCGCGTCTGACCACAACGCGTCTCGTCTCGCTAGCCGAAAGAAACCTCCGTTACACATAATATATATTATCCTGGGCTCCGTTGTCGGGAACAAAATTAAGTCTTAACATTAACTTGTTCTCGTAGACTGTTGATGACAGAATCATGGCAAAGTTAGAAGTTTCTTATACGCAACGTATGCAGGACCGGTCTACGAGAAAAGTTCATGTTAATGCAAGAACTTTTGTTTTTGACAACAGGGGCCCTCTGGTGGTCACTCATGAACGCCGTCGCCAGCGTCGTAAATCGAGCGACATAACGGTGCTTTTGCAAACATTTCTCGACTCGAACACTTGCTGTCTCTCCTTACACTGTTGTTCTTAGGCTTCTCTATTGACAATATTTCGTTCTCCACATATTTCTCTCCAACAGAACACGCGCAGACGCGTAGAGACACACATAACTTCATTGAATTGGCAGCTAGTTCAGTTTCCATAGAAACCCATCGCGCGATTAATAACGTCGATACGCTGCAAGGTAAAAAAAAACGAGTAATTTCGAATGTTTCTCGGGCGTGTGGTTGTGCGTTACGTGCGCACGTGACGGTCCCACGCAGAAACGACTCAGAACTCATCAGAAAGAGTCTCTCACTCCAACACTGAACACTACTCTTATCTACTCACACAAAGCGCCATCCACAAGCAAGCAAGCATGCAAGCAATCAGGCAAGCATGCAAGCAGGCAGGCAAGCAAGCAGGCGAGTGAGGTAAACTTCTTTTCATAGGGGAGACACCGAACGTGACACGACTTTGCATGTCACGATCGCCGCGCAGATAAACAAGTGACTGCACCTCACGCATCACTTATGCGCGGACGCTTTCTCGGTAAATCCCACGCGCGTTCTTACTCCGCATATTTTTACTACGCAGCGACCCGTTACACGCGTGGCGTAGTAAGTGAAGCACTCCAACGATGTGCTTGTAATGCGAGTCATAGCGACATTCAAGGCTTTGATACGTGCATGCGTGCATGACAAATCTGAGACACTTTAAGACACCCTCGCTGACCTTACATACTCCCTAGACAAACACTCAAGCTCATGATCTCGAATTACGTCAAGTCGTACGCACAATTTAATCGTTTATGCTATGTTCCACCGACAATTGGTGGTAACGGCCAAGCTACTGACTTCATAAAGGTCGTCATGAAGGTCACACGCTACGGTGTGACACCCCTGAGGCCCAACCCGCATATTCGTGCAACTGTGAGGAATGAGCGGTAGTGATACCGCCTCTCATTCGGTTAAGGGCTCGAGGAACAGAGCCCCGAAATCGGCCCGCAGAGCCAAGACTGGAAGGCACGTTCACTTGGTTCTGCCGGTAACGACATGGAGGTGCAGCCTTCATGGATACAAACCACGCGTGTGTTGACGCTTCAAATTTCTCGCTTGACGATTCAGATCCTCGCTTGATGCTTCAAAAATTCTCGCTTGACGCTTCTATCAAAAATAACTGAAAAAGCTCATTACGAATCTTGCGTGTCAACGTTTCTTTATGGAAACGCGAAAATCTTCTTTCGTACGCTGAACCTGTGGCGATTGACCCCCAATCGAAATCCCGGGCACCCACAACCGCGTTGGAAAAAAAATCACTCGGAAAAAAACCACCGCACGATTTTAAACTGCCAAAAAACATGCTCCGGATGAATTCCAACGCGAGTCTCCCCACCCCCCCAAAAAAACCGCTACGCTCCCAAAAAACTAAACACGAAGAAGACACATCTACATGTTGTCCAGCCGCCCTCATGATAGCGGAAAGGGTGGGACCTCCCCCCGCCCTCGTGATAGCGGAGGGGGGTCGGTCCTCCTCCCTCCGCCCTTACCACGCCTCTCCCCCGTCACCCGGGCTCGTATCTCTCCTCCTCCTCCTCCTCAGGAGCTGACCCTACGGGGTCTTGTCGTCGTGCTTGTGGCTCGGCGAGGGCGAGTCCCAGCGCTCGTGCGTGTGCGTCTCGAGGTGCACTATGGTCACGTGCACCGCGCACAGCTTCTCCATCTTCGGCGGCACGGGGCACAGCTTGTAGGTGACGATGTCGTTGTGCTTCGGGATGTATTCGCCGTCGATGCTGCGGGCACGAAGACGAGCGACAGTGAAAACTAGTGTTGCCAATCGGTTGTAATTTCGTAATCGATCATCGGTTGGACCCAAGTAACCGATGATCGGTTACAATCGGTTACTCGGGGTGTTGAATGCCTGCGTGTGCGTAACGTTGTATGCATGTACGTGTGTGCATGTTTAGCCCTGTTTACTGTTTGTTTTGCACTGTTTACTACTGTGTGTATAATACATGTATGTTAAGAAAGGATAACTTGTATAGTAGCAATGATATCTCTGATTCTCATCACTTTTCCAAGTTTTCTTGTTCAAGTTTTACATTTATTTCGATTATTTTATTTTGTTTATTTTTCCGATGGAATCGATTATGGATTTTGATAACCAAGCGCTTGGTTCGAGCCACTGTTCAACCGATGATCGAGTATAATCGATGATCGTGACATCACTAAGCGCTTGGTTCGAGCCACTGTTCAACCGATGATCGAGTATAATCGATGATCGTGACATCACTAGTGAAAACCCCGCTCAACGTGACGCGGCTCGGCGCAGATAGCGCGAGAAACGATAGCCGCGGAATAGAGGACATGGTAAGGTTTTCGTCTGATTTCGACATGATTCGAGCGAGAGTGAAAACCCCGCTCAACGTGACGGTCGGCTCGGCGGAAACGATAGCCGCGGAATAGAGGACACGAAAAGGTTTTCGTCCGATTCTGAAATCGCGGTACATGCGGTTCCATCTCTGCTCAGCGAATATAAAGCAAACACTCAACCTCGTCTTAACAGAGTCGGATAGCGGAACAGAGGACATGAAAAGGTTTTCGTCCGATTTCGATATGATTTGATCGAGAGTTAAATCCCGTTAACGTAACAGTCGGCTTGGCAGAAACGATACCGCAGGGGTTAAATTTTGTGTTTATGTGCTTATATATGCATTTTTCTGGAGAGGGGTCCGTAGCTTTCGCCAGATTCTCAAAGGAGTCCATGACTCAAAAAAGGTTAAGAACCACTGCCGGCTAGCAGAATAGAGGACATGAAAAGGTTTTTGTCTGATTTCGACACGATTCGATCGAGAGTTAAACCCCGCTTAACGTAATGGTCGCCTGATCGGAGATAGCGCGACAAACGATAGTGGAATAGAGGATGTGAAAAGGTTTTTTGTCCGATTTCGACAAGATTCGATACGTGCAACTGCATTTGGTGTCTTCAATTTCGGTTTTCATTTCGGTCCTTTCAAACCTTTATCTCTTATAAATATTGTCTGTGGCTCTCTTTTGTTTTCTTTTTGATGCAATAAAGTTAGTGTATCAATCTAATTTATCGTTCAGTTCACAAAGTGCAAAACTGGTTCGGACAATCATTGACGTCAGTAAGTGAAGGTGTCTTTTTAAAAATACAAAAGAAATACTCACTCAGATATGTGCACAAAAATGTGGCTTCCCCCTCCATCAGGTAGTATGAAACCATGTCCTTTTTCTCTGCAGAAAAACTCAACCTTGCCTTTGTGCTGCGGACCCTCTGCTGCGCGCTCAGATCTGAAACAAAAGCAAGGTTACACACTTTATATTTGTTAGATTGTTAGTTTTAGTTAATAACGATTTATAGGTTTGATTCCAGCTCCTAATTAATCGAATTATGATGATCAATTCTTCAACAGCATAAAAAAATTTATAACAGCTGTATACAAGGTATTCTTTCGTAGCGCAAACAGCACTTGTATTAAATAGAAACAATCACGTAGATTGATTTGATGATCAACTAGAGAGAGAGAGATCATCAAAGACCTACAGCTTCTAGCCAGCTGGCAAAGACGCTAGCAAGGTGGTGAGACGCACGAAACACGGCAGTGCTAAACACTCGACACAGTTAGTTTTTTTTAACGCAAAACATTGTCCCCCAAAAAGTCGTTTTTGTTGCCGAGCTGCACGCGACACGCTGTTCGCCGGTAGCCACGGCAACGAGATCGCGCTAACCGGCCAGCAGCTGACACTCACACTGACTGAGTCCTGGTCCTTCGCGTTGGCAGCGGGCTGGGCAAGCTCGGGAAAGCCTTCCTGATCGGGGAGGTCGGCGGCTGCGCCAGCGGAGAGATGGGGAGAGGCGCCGCGGGCGGGGTGCCGCACGGAGAGTGAGGTTGTTCCGTCGTCGTCATGGCTACCGGGTACTGCTGCTGTGACTTCGCTCAGAGCTTCTGTCGACGCAGTGACGAGCCTGCTAGTAGATACGCGATCCCGTCAAATTTTTTCGCAACGTAAAGTTTATAAAGGTAGTGTTTAGAGGTGGTGTCAGTCTCAATTCAATGCAGAACAGCAGTGGGGAAACGGTAAGCTACTAATGGAAACTTTGTTACGATGGGATAGAGTCCCGTCTAGACCAATGCTGTTACGCACTCGTACAAGACACTTAAGAATGGATTAGAGTGTTCAAGAAATGGGTCCTCCACAGCTATATTGACAGATTGGGGCAATGCCAACCGCCTTGCTAAGTAAAAACAGTGCATGTCAGGAGAAATCAAAGGAACACAGATACCGATGGGCGATGGCTCACGCTCCACAACGAGATATCATACGAACAGTGGTGAAACGTACCCCCCCCCCACACACACACACACATTTCACACTCGAGGTGCAATTAGTGCATTAATTTACGGACGACGTTTACCGTAGACCCTCTGCCATCACAACATGGTGCAGAGGCACGTTGCACCCGCGCACGCGTAGTTGTGGGACAGGTATTTGATCTGCTAACGTTGACAACTCAATCTCAGAAACCCCGCCGCCACACTATCTACTATCGTTGAATGGTTGGGCCGGAGTTGTGTGAAATGGAAGGAATTCCGTGTTACATACCACGCATACACGCAGCGCCTCTTAGCAGTATGTGAGCTTAATATCGAGTAACATGGGCTCGGGTCCAGATCGGTTACGGGTGTTCACACATGTGGGTGTCCCAAGGAAAGGACCCCCCCCCTACTAAACAGCTGATCACCACAGCTGGTCGTTACAAACTAGTGACATTCCTACTGCATATCACGTGCTAGTTACGCAGATAAGGTCTATATCCCCCTGACCTCTGTTTGACCTGGCTCGTTTAGCTATTTCTGACTAATATATATATATAATATATATAGGGTTAGGGTTAGGGTTAGTCAGAAATAGCTAAACGAGCCAGGTCAAACAGAGGTCAGGGGGATATAGACCTTACGAGCGTTACTAAGCCAAGCCGCCAGCACTAGGTCGATGGAACAATTACAACATACGGTGACAAACAAACCTGACACGAGGAAAGCCCTGCAACTTAGATCAACCACTCACTTAGAATGCTTAGGGGGGAAATGTTGAAGTTGGCGAAAAAAGTTTAGAAAAAATCAATGAATCATAATTTGAAAAGCTCTCACTTTGTGACTTCTAGTTCTACTCTGTCCTCACACTATTAACAAGACATGACACAAAAAGAAATTAACTTTATAGCCTAGTTTAGACCTAGAAACAGTCCTCACAAACGTTTAAAGTTAAGTAACTTCTATCGGTGACATCAGACCCAGAATGTTGAAAATGGTTCTTCTAGTCTAGTGACTTCAAAAAAACTGAACATGAATAAAATAATGTGTACTAGTTACTACCATTTCTCAGGAAGTGCATGATATGCAGTGGTAAAGAATCCTAAACGAATCCTTACTATTGCAAATGTAAACTTTGAGAATTTCTGTTTGGGTTATAGGTGAAATTTCAAAGTGTAGTAAAATGGCAACCACTTGCCCTTTACGCCAACCAAATGTCGGGCTGGCAAAAAGCAAGTAAAAGACACCGCGAAAATACGGCCTCCTACAATGACAAGAAGTCAAGCAAGCTGAACCATCTTTAAACAGGAGCATAGCAAGACTTGCACATAATGACACTACACGACCTTGACCTTGAATCACTGAGACACTGTATGGAGACCATCTTTAAGCAAAACCAACGAGGCAAGACTAAACAAAGTGGATGACTGAGCTTGTGATAATATTTATGTCCCAGACTGACAGGCAAGATAAATACATCTGAACAATAAAAGATCTATACCAACTCAACATGTCAGGACATTCTAAACTAATTCTGGTTGCCATTGGAACTACAGAGAAAAGCAAATCTTGACGACTAGGTTATTATGACCGGGGCCCGGAAATACTTTCCATCTTTTAACCCGACAACTCGCGTGCATTAGTCGATGGGCACAACTACAGTACACAATCTATTATCCGAAACCCTTGGGACCAGACACGTTTCGGAATTCGGAATTTTTCGGATTTCGGAATGGTAGTACAGTACAGATATAGGCTAACGCTCCATTAGGAGTGTTCCCATCTTTGATATCATTAATGATTAATGATTAATTATTAATGATTGATAATCCTAACCCTAACCCATGACCATTATTATGACCATTATATTATAATGACATTAAAGTTGGGAACACTCCTAATGGAGTATCACCCAGTTTTCAAGAGGCCAAGTGCTGTACCACCGGTACAGTACAATATGTATAAGTAATGCCAAACACATTTAATATTTCTGCAGTGAACCTTGAGCAGCCAAACACAAGCTTTGGTCTGCGGATGACCTCCACAAAAATTTTTTCGGTTTTTCAGAGCTTTTTGGTTTTCAGAATTTCAGATAATAGATTGTGTACTGTATTTTGATATGTTACTTTCGCTGAGAGGGTCTATGTCCCCCAGGGTACTATCGGAGGGTACCCTGGTACTATCTGATATGCCGGACCGTACCTCGCCTACTCCACTAACGAGTCTAGGAAGTCGCCTAGGCCTACTCCCTAACCCTAACCATATCAGATAGTTACCAGGGTACGTTCCGATACATTGAACCGTACCCAGGGTACCCTCCGATAGTACCCTGGGGGACATAGACCCTATGAGCGTTACTTTCATACAGGAAACAGACCACAGTTCAGGAACTAATCGTAAAAATAAACTGCCAATCCACCTGCCTTTTTTATACACACTATATTTTAAGGAATGTTCCTCGCGCCAAATTAGGTTGAGGATTGTCATGTATATATATCTTACTTAATTTGAACAATTTTTAATTTGAAATTGAAATTTTGTAACAATACACTTCAATACATAAACGCAGATGTATTTCTTAGAAGACTGCAGTTGCACTAGTCAACCACCTATATATGTTAAGGCTTTTAAATACAGTACATTGATGGGTCATAAGTCTATTTCTCGGCTGAATTTAAGTGTTAATAGTGCTGAGAGGGTCTATGTCCCCCGGGGTACTGCCGGAACGTACCCTGGGTCAGGTTCTCCAAGATGATCTGGATATTGTGGCACATTTTCAAGTCACTTAAAGAAATAAGGGTCATTGCACGATTATGCAATGTTGACGAATGCTAGA